TTGTCGATCTGCCTGTTCTGCACCCCACTCTGTCTTTGGTGAATCCTCTCACCGCCCCTGCACCTCTGGCCTGTACCCCAGTTCTGTATGCATAAATAAATCTTTAAAAAAAAAAAAGGAATGCAACTTAAGTTATATGTTTTAAAAATGTAAATCATTCATAATCACATTCAGGATAAGATTAAAATTTAAAACTCTCTTAGAAACAGATTGTTTAACTGACTTTAAGTGTGTGATTAAAAAAATAAACCTAACTAGATACTTTAGTGCTTCACCTCTATTCCTAAAGGTTTCAATATTTAGGTTGATAAGAACTTTCTTGGGACTTTCTCTTTGGGAAACCTGACATTCAAGTTGCCTGACATGCAACTTGATGCCTTATGGGCCTTCCAACATGTCCTCCTCTTTGTCAGTCAGTCATTCCTCAGCACCCGAGGTCAAACCTGGTTCCTGGCCAAGGGCTGCTAGATAGGGAAGACATACACAGTAGCAGAGAGTTGGGCATGCTGTGTGTTCCCTGTGGACCAGGGACTGTGCCTGGGTTTTACTCTCGGGTGATTCAGGCACACCCTTTACCCCAAACACACACGATTGGGTAGCCCAGACTGGAAGGGGCCAGGGTATGGGACTCTGTCACTTGGTCTAACCAGCTCCCCCTTGTCACCCCTACAGGTCTCAGAGCTCTTATTTCAGTCGATCTGTAGCGCAGAGTTCTACCTCAAGCTCTATGTGGACCCCATCAAATTTTGGAAGAATGGCTACAACTTGCTCGATGTGCTTGTTATCATCATCTTCAGCATCCCTTACGCATTAAAAAAGGCAAAGGGCAAGCACTATCCATACCTCAACATCGCTAATGGCATACAGTCCCTGCGCATCCTCAAGCTTATCACTTACAGCCGTGGCATCCGAGTGCGTAAGCTGGTGGCGCTTTGGTTGTGGGTGTGCAGGAGATAGGGTTCGTCTGCCCATCAGCCCCTGCATCCTGTTCCTGAGTCCCCACTGTGTAGCAAATTGATCTCTAGTGACAGGATCTCATTGAATTGTAAAACTTGCGTAGGAAAGGTAGAATTAGCTTCATTTTCCAAATGGAGAAATTGAGGCTCAAGGTTAAATGTCAGCACCAACATTTGAAAGGTATGTCCCACAGAGGCTGTTGGGATTTTTCCTCTTCCGTGCTGCAAAGCTGCTGGGGTTCTTACGATACAGACCCTCTGAGCTGTATGCCTGGAAGTCTCTTGGCTGCTCAGTGCTTCCCTCAGAGTGAAACACTTGCTGCTTCTCTTGATGAGAATAGACTCATTACTCCCTTCACACAGCTCTGGAAATGCTCCTGCTGGGAGGTCTCCCCAGGCTGTTGGAAGCTATGACCAGCCTTGCCTTGGCTCAGAAAGTTTCAGAACAAACCTCAGAGTGGACCCATCTGTGCCGTCAGGCATTCTCCTGGACACAGCCTATGACTGCACCCAGCTTCCATACGTGTCCAGGAAGGCACTTTTTGCGGCCCATTTCACCAGATCAGCATGCCACTCAATTCTGGCACTCCTAATGCAGACTGCCCTAACCCAGGCTAGATGGCTGTTGGGGGCCCAGCTTGGTAAACCGTAGTCTTGGGCGGAGAAAACAAGGAGAATGTTCAGGAGCTCCTCCTGTCACACTTTCCATTCATTCCTTGCTCACATTAGCTGCAGACTCCCAGGTAATACAGTCAGCTGCCTTCTCTTCATAGCAGCCCCCTTCCTTATCTGTCATCTCTACGCTGGCTTCTTCCCTAAGCCTTCACACCAAAAGATCTAGCCTCTGTCACCAAATCCAGTGCTTGTTCCCATTGGCATCCTTGTCACCACTTCCTCTTGGTTTTTGCCAGTGTCATGGCTGTGACTTTTCTGGGGTGTGCCTCTTTGCTTGGCCCATAAGTACTGTTTTCTCAGAACCTTCTCCTGAGTTTTCTACTTTCTTACTTTGCATATTCTCTTTGGGTGGTCTTTTCACTTCCTGTCCACACCTCTCTCTGATCTCCCAACTCAAACTGAATTGGAGCTTGTAGGGCGCAGCCCCAGAGACAAGGACCCCAGGTGGACTCTTGTCTAGGCGAGGACAGAAATCAACATTCAGACCAAAGTTACAGAAAAGCAAGAGATTTATTGATAAAGAGGAAGAACAGGAACCCTCCCCAAGCAGAAAGGGGTCCTGACTGGGCAGCCCCTGAGGGGGCAAGAAGTAGGTTGTTATATGGGTCTAGTGGACAAGGAGTGGGGCTTGGTGGTTGGGTGTCTCTTGCTGATTGGCTGGGCCCGCAGGGTCTCCTAGGCTACCTAGGTCCGCTGAATTTACCCACATTACCTGGCCCTCTTTCCTGAAATTAGCCTTCGTCCATTGTTTTAGCTTTATGTTGATGTGTTGGTGTACTGGACTTTCATTCCACACTCTACTGGTCTGGGGCCCCGGGGGGACTCGCCTGGTCTGGTGGTGATCACCAATCACACTGATAAATAGACGTAGGACTTGGGGGTGGGAAGCAGACATTCTCCTAGTTCCAACCGTTTCTCAGTCAGGCTAATAAGTGGACGTAGGGGCTTGGGATGCCCTGTTCCTAACTGCCTGCCTATGCCCATTCCCTAACTTCCTCCTTCAGAACCACTTCCTGGACATCATGTTTTGTTCAAACTCAACATGTCTAAACCAGAATTTACCTACCCTCCCATCCCCAAACGCTGGCTCATCCTCCTGTTTTTTGTCTTTTGGTGAAAGGTTCTCCCTCAGCCCCTTTATGCCAGGTCATTAATTTGAGTGTCAGCTGACTCCTCCCTCTCAAGCCTGTTACATGGCACTGACTTGTCCACATCTTTCCACCCCCATAGCCTTCGTCTTTCTGCATCGCCCTCTGCCTTTACCTGCCTTCTGCAGTGGCCTCCCACGCTGCTGAGAGCCTGGAGCACAAATGCCCCAGCCGCACAGGATGTGTCAAGTGCTCAGCACATCTTGGCGCCATTCTTTTTCAGCCTGAGAGTTCCTCCCTTTGTCTGTAAGCAAGAGACAGACCCTATAATGTGCCCAGAAGTGGGAAGGCTGGATCTGAGGTGCATGGCATGGGAGACCACATCAAGAGTGGGAGTCAGGCTGCTGGACAGGAAAGAAGCTGGATGTCTGTGGGTGGTCCAGCGGGAGGCACCTTGGAGGCAGGGACTGATGGAACAGTGAGCAGTGTAGCCTGGTTTTTCTGGGTGTTGGGCACCAAGGAATAAGGGACCTAATATAGAGCAGGGATCATCAGGGGCGAGGAAGTCAAAGGACAGAGAGGCCTGCGGTAGGCGCTAGATTCTGAAGGCCCCCTGAATGACAGCAGGATGGTGTGGAGGCTGGAGACACCTTCTGACACATGAGGGGTGTGGGAGTAGGAAGGGATTGGTCCTGCCTAGAAGCTGGAGCCTGGATTCTGGAGCTGGGAAACTGAGGAAAAGGCAGAGGGTGGCCTGGTCAGACCCCTCAAGAAAGCTGCTGAGGATCGATGTCCTCAGACAAGGGGATGTTTAGGTACAGCTATGAGAGGCCCAAACCCAGGATGAGGGTGCCAGAGACCTGCAGGAGCCACATGAGAAAGGAAGTAGCGGTGGTGGACTGCAGGAAAGGGAACCCAGGGGGGCACGGGTGGGGGGCATGAAGGACTGGTGGGTCAGGTGCCTTCTGTCTTGGGAGAAGGGGGAAATGGAGGTAGGGTCAGTCACCTCCTCTGGCACCTTGCAAGGCCTGGGACACTGCTGCCTGCTGAGCATGTCATAGGGACCATCAGCCTGATCAGAGGCAAAGTCCTCAAGTGCCTGGGGCTTGGGGCCTGGTGGGGACCACATATCCTTCCAGCCCAAGGTTCCAGTGAGGGGAGCACAGGCCTGGTCAAGGCTGATTCCAGATTTTGGCCTGACTTGCTTGATGACAGCAGCCTCCGCTCTGGTTCTTGTGGCCATGCAGAGACCCACAGCACAAGGATAAAACCTGTGGTGTCCTTGGATCCTGTATCCTGGGGCGCACAGAAATTTGACTCTGGGTTACACACCCTCTACTGTTCACTGGCCTGCCAGCTGATCAAGGGGGCTGGAGGTAACAGCCAGGGGACCTGCCCTGCTGTGCTAATTTCCATTCACTGGACTCTAAATGAGACTCTAACAGCACTACAGCCTCAATGCCCACAGCCGGTATCCTGGCACATTCTTGGCTCCCATCCACTCATTAATTAAAATGACACTTGGCCTTCCATCTCATAGCAGTAAACCTGCACCGTGAGGAAATAGTTCCTTCTTGTTATGCACACAGAGAAGTTCTGTTTGCTGGGCACCCAAGGGTCACACTGCCCTGGTTGTTGGAATTTCAGCCTGAAGAACAGCCTTCACGTGCCTGGCTGTGGAAAGAGCCAGCTTTGCCTTCCTCTGTGCGTCTTCCTCCTCCTCCAGGGTCCTCACTTTTTGAATATCTGACTGACTGGACAGGAGCACTCTCTCAGAGTACCTGGGCTTCTCCATGAAATGTACATTGGAGAGCTGAACCAGGGCTTGGAATTGCTGCCCAGAGAAGTTGGGAATTCCAAATCTGCATTTCCTTGGGCCCACACCATAGACTTTGAAAGGCTAGGACTTCCTCAGAGAAGGGTCTCTGATGATGTGGGCCTCCTTCCCCGGGGACCAGGTATCGGCACTGTCCAGCCTGGAGACTGATGACACCTGTCTGGATTATTGAGGAACCTGGCTAAGGCTAGCTGTCAGGAATCCCACATGGGGCTCTGGAGAGTGACCTGTTGTCCACAGCCATTCTGAACACTGCTAGGCTTTGATTTTTAACTCAAAGGTCACTCTGGGCCTTTGAGGGCCTAGATTTGGGAGACCCAGCCAGGCCTCTCCCTCACCCTCCTGAAGCTCCTCAGTCTCCTCTCCTCACTCCATCTGTAGTCTGTGTCCCATTGCAGCATTTCTGAGGACTCACCTCTTCAGTCTTAGTTCTCAGGAAAGAAGTTCTGATTCAGTTCTCACAGAATTAATTTAAAATTACTAATTTTCTTCCCCCAAGAAGAGAAGAGAGGTATCCAGCATGTGACCCCTGCAGGCAGCTGCCAAACCAGTTCGCATCCAGCTCTCTTGGGCTGTCTCTCTGCTTACCCTGGACTGTCAGCCCTCGCTGTCCTGTCCCTCAGCTTGAGCAAGTACCTCCTGTCTTAGTTTGAGTCAACAAATGACTTCTTGGCTTAGCAAAAGGGATTTTAGGTTGAAAGTCGTAACACATGGCTCTGGGATTGGCCCCATCTCTGTCTTTGCATGTCAGGGCCTTTGAGCCTTCATGCTGATACGGGAAGAATGACAACACCGACTTGCGTTGAAATTATGTCTGTGATTGCCTCTAGGTAGGTGAGCATGTATTGAGCACCTACTGCATGCACGACCATAGATGTGAAGAGTGAAACTTGAAGAATGATATGCTACACTTCCTAGGAGAGGCCTTTGCACTGAGAGATAAGACAGAGACCCATTTCACTGTGTCTGTGGGGGAAGGTCAAGGCTGGGGTCACAAGATGGAAACCTGCCTGTAAAACAGAACCTACAAAGAATGAGAAGCCACATTCCTCTCAGCCCTCTTCATTCCTACTCCTGGGGTGACTCCCCTATTCCTTCTGGGACTGGAGGGCCGTGGGCTCCTGAGGAGTGTGACACCCTGTGACAACTGCAAAGCCAGGCTGGGGTTCAAATAGAGCATTAGTGGTCGAAGGAGACGACCTTAGACCTGTGGCAGCAAGGATGATTTGCCCATAAGTGACTATGGACAGGCTAGATGGGTCCAGCCCACAGTAGCCACAGCTCCCATCACCCATCCATTACCCGGGCATTTAGGAAGCACCTGCCATGTGCCAGGCTTGGCTCTGGATGCTGTGGGCAGCTGTGGGTCTCAGTGCCCAGCCTCACCAGCCTGGCAGCCTTGCCTAGCCCCCGACCCTGTTTTGCAGACTCTCATCACTGCCATGGGGCAGACGGTCTACACTGTGGCCTCCGTGCTCATCCTGCTCTTTGTCCTGATGTACATCTTCGCTGTCCTGGGCTTCTGCCTATTCGGGGGTCCCGATGGAGGTGACCTGGATAACTGGGGGAACCTAGCTGTTGCCTTCTTTACCCTCTTCAGCTTGATCACGGTACTGCATTTAAGAGCAGGGGGAGGGCGGGGACCTTGCTGGCATGTGTGGACATACTGAGCTTCACCTGGGGCCCTCTCCATGTTCAAGTAACTCGCTAGCTGGGGGAGCTCAGGGCTGACCTCCCAGGACAGTCGATGTCTATGCCCTGACCAGGGGTCCAGCTCTCTCTAATCTTGTATTCTCTAGAGCAGTTCCATTTGTCCCATAAGGTTGTAATACTTCAAAGAGTTCTCAAAAGAGAATTTACTTGGATTAAGTTTAACTTAGAAATGAAGCCCATGTCATACTGCCTCTTTGGGGACAGACTGCTGCAAGTTCATCCAGAATAAGTCTGCAAGCCCAAGTCTGAAAGTTGAAACTATTACCCGTGGAAAGACCGGTAGTCTGTTCAAGGAGGGCCTGGCAGGGAGGCAGAAGGGCCCCTATAGCAACTTGGTCATAAGTTCCCCCCTCCCACTGGCACCCTGCGACCCTAGACACCCTCTGTGGGCTGGTTTAGAGAGTCACTGAGGGCTGTTGTGGAGGCAGAGTCCGCCGCTGCCTCAGTGAGGCTCTCTTAGGGTCTGTGGGAAGGACTCCTGTCCCCTGGGCCTGGGCACTCAGCATCCCCCTCCGGCCGAGCAGGTGGATGGCTGGACAAACCTGCAGCAGAAGCTGGATGACAGGAATTTTGCTCTGAGTCGGGCATTCACCATCATCTTCATCTTGCTTGCTTCCTTCATCTTCCTCAGTATGTTTGTCGGCGTGATGATCATCTACATTGAGGTGAGGTTTTGAGTGTAAGAATTAGTGGCAGGGGCCCTCTCTGGTGGTGCAGTGAGCTAAAGCACAACACTCTGAAGCTTTTTGCAGCCACTGCAACACAAACTCAATTCCCAGCCCCAGAGCTGACCCACATGGCACAGCAGACCTCTCCTGTCCCACCCGCTGCTCTCCTCCACAGTGTATTTCAGTCAGTCTGCCTGTTCTGCTCCCCACTCAGTCTCTGGTGAATCCTTTCATCCCCTGCGCCTGTGGCTGGTACCCCAGTTCTTGTATATATAAATAAGTCTTTACAAAAAAAAAAAAAAAAACGGCCTTGTCAAGGTTGATTCCAGATTTTGGCCTGACTTGCTTGATGACAGCAGCCTCCACTCTGGTTCTTGTGGCCATGCAGAGACCCACAGCACAAGGATAAAACCTGTGGTGTCCTTGGATCCTGTATCCTGGGGGGCACAGAAATTTGACTCTGGGTTACACACC